CTCGCTCTACAGCCAGCTCCAGTGTGGACTGCAGCGTTTGTGGGTGTAGTAGCTGTACTTGGGCCCATAGTTCAGTGGGCGAGAGGGCTCGGATAAACTGGTCCCGCGCTAGCTCGCTTTGTGCCTCAGGGGTCATGTGGGCGTACGCGCGCCTTGTCATGCTCTCAATGTCATTAGCCAGTGCCCGTAGCGGCTCCCCCGTCTTCCTGAACCGACTACTGAGCTCATTTCGCAATAGACCTGGCTGTAAACATTGTCCAAAGCGCCTCCCTAACGCCCCCACTAGAGCCACATAGCTGCGCCTGTCCCCCGGGCTAAGCAACAGTAAACAGGCCAACGCATCATCGGTGAGGCTCATAGCAAGCTGCAGTGCACGTTCTTCCAGCGACCAGTTTTCAGCATCAGCTAACAGTTCAAACTGTGCAATATACGCTTCCCAGTCCGACCTACCCGAGAACTTCGGTGTCTTTGTTGCAGTGCGAAGACCCCCGCCATTGTTGTTTTCATCTGGCTTCTCCCGCGAACTTTTCATTTCGGCGCGGGCATTGGCGTGCTCAGCTGCAGCAGGGGAGAAGCCCGCGTCGGCAGCCATCCTCAGAACTGAGTCTTTTAGCCGGCCCCTCGCCTCTTGAGCAGCACTCTCCGCCGCATTTTTACTGTCCTCCGTACATCCGCACGCTCCTTCCTCCTCCGATTTCATTTTCCTACGCACGGAGAAAAGTGCCATATTAGCAGAAGCCTATATGCCGCTATCTCACTCACTTTCCCTGCCCGCGCTAGCTACTAGCTTGCACGGACTCACCAACTTCAGGACCGGTTTTCTTTCTGTTCAGTTTTTTTTTTTTTTTTTTACTTCTGACACCAGTGTAGTACTGGCCAAAAACGGGGCAATGGTGCAATAATGTCCGTTTATTAGACTCAACAAAAATACCCGGGATAGGCAGTACATTCAGTCCGTATTTGGAACAGTCTGATGTGTCTGTCTTGTACACAAGCGTAACCTGGTCTGCTCTACAGGAACATGCTCACAGAGTTACCTACAACCCCGGAAGTCCCGCCTCACTCCCCATCCTACTGGCCGAAACCCCAATTGATTGGCATGCAATAGAAATCACCCAACACGTCACTACAATAAAAAGAAACATTTTATCAACAAACAGAACATCCAATGAACACTGCGAATTATTTATTCGCGGGCCATCTTTTTTGGATGCTCTGTTTGTTGGTGATATATTTTTATTCTTTATTTCGTTATAAATCTGTTCTCATACCAATACTTTTACTTTTTGCTGGCTGCCGGACATGGAGTATTTTGCATTTCGCCTAGGACAGTCTTGATCGTGCATGCGATAATTTATTCGCACTGTCAATGGTCATGGAATTGATTTGCTCACTGACTACAAGCACTATTTTATCTCTGGTGTGCAAATAAAGCGTGAATCTGTTGGATCCATCTGACTAATTTTCAAAAGAGAGACCGAATAAAGACTGTTGTCTATCTTCAACAGAAGAAAACACATGAATAAAAAGACCAAGAAAAGTCGATAGCTATCAATTTGCATTTTGTGAAGGTCGAACACAAACATGGCCAAGGGTGCACGTCTAATAATTCCTGGAATACTCGAAAAATTAGAACTTTTATGACTTTCGGACACGGAGATATATTAAAACCCTGTCCGACTTTCGCGTCTTTGCATTGACTTTGACTGTAATCAGTCGTGCGAAAAATTCGTTTCGTGTCCAGTGTGCAAGCGGCTTTACTGAACATAGAACACAAGCATTATATATATATAGGCAGTTTATGGTTGGCTGAGAAAGATGTGAAGTCGTTAGTTTGCATCACAGATTCAGCTGCGTTGATTAAGCCAGGTGTAGTTTCCATTACGAAGTGCCAACCGTTTTTTAATCTGACATCAGGACAATCGATATAGATACTATAATTTATGTCCTGATTCAGATAGTTACATTAAATAGTGGTTGCTGTAATTATTTATTGCATTGAAATGTGCCTGACATTCTGGAAACCTGCCTGTGAGGTTTCGGTGACGTGTGCGCACTGTGCGCCGGTCAGCCAAATTACCACTGCACAGAAAGTAAACCAGGTTGGAGCTGGCGAGCTTTCTGCACAACTTCAGCAAAGACTTTTTCTACGAAATTGTCACTGCGTCTTGATGAATATGTGACACCTCCCCCTACTACGCCGCCACACCCATCTCGGCGCACGTCCGTCTACCAAATTGCCAAAGTGGCTGCGCACGGTGTTGCACCGCACGAAATTACCACTGCGCGGGCTGCACCGAAATTACCACTGCGTGGGCTGCGCCACGCTACGCCACGCTGCGCCACGAAATTAGAGCCCTAAATGTTCATAAGTAGGATGCAAGCAGAATTATGAGAGTAAAGTGATAGACTGCTCCTCTTGGAGGGCCAAATTTATAAAAATCTGCACAGATTTCAGACCTTAATATTGTGTATGCTCAAAAAAGGGAAGAAAAACTGCACTTAGATCTGTCAAAAATATCCAAATGTATAAATCAGTAGGTATTCATTCAATTTCTGTTGAATTATTCAGGATTAACTTGTAACTTTTTTATATGCATTAAGAATTTTGTGTTTTTTATTGTCAAGTTTGTTTTTATAAATCCAAAATCTGCACAGAAAGTGATGTACATACTAAGATATAATTTCTGTGCCAGCGGACAGTTTCTAAAAGAGATCCCAAGTGATCACAGATCCTTTGCCCCATACCAGGGCTTTTTGATTGGGGACACAAAAATAGACTCTTGCCTGTTGGACTAGGCAAAATCTTGCCTCCAAATGCCACTACTGTTACCATCCTCAAACACCGACCCTTAATGACATCTAAATTAGTTGCCCCTGTTAATTTGTTATTCTGTTCCAGGTAACTCTTGATACTAAGCAGCCCAGGATTCTGGCTGATTTTAATTTGCTATGCCAGGCTGTAGTTTGGAAACACTTCATCCTTGTAAATCATACATCAGTATTGAAAAATATCATGGACAGCTGCAAGGAGCCACAGACAATGGCATGTGAGAGAAAGGACAGCGTTTCACCTCCCTTCTGCAAGTTTCATGTATTCAGTGCAGCCGTCTAATAGACAGGTGGAAACATTCAATATCATCATATGTCCTCATATTCAAAAAAGTTGGGATGCTGTATAAAATTTAAATAAAAACAGAGTGCAATGATTTGCAAATTATTTAAATTCTTTATTTAACTGAAATGGTTCCATGACAACAAATCATATGCTGAAACAGAAATTTTAATGTTTTTTTTTAATATACGCTCAGTTTGAATTTGATGCCAGCAACACGTTTCAAAAAAGTTGGAACACTGTGTTGCATCACCTCTTCTTTTAACAATACTCTATAAATGTTTGAGAACCAAGGAGACCAACTAATAGTTTTGAAAGCGAAATTTTTTCTCATTCCTGATTAATATTGGATTTCTGTTGCTCAACGCTTTGTGGCCTCCTTTGCCATATTTTGTGTTTCATAATGCACTAAATAATTTCAGTTGGTGCAGGTTACTAGTTCAGAGCCAGACCCTTTTGCTATGGAGCCATGTTGTTGCAATACATGAATACAGAATACAGAATGCAGTGTTTGGCATTATCTTGCTGAAATAAGCAAGGTTTTCCCTAGACAAGATGTCTGGATGGCAGCATATGTAGCTCTAAAACCTGTATATATCATTTGGCATTAATAGTTTCTTCACAAATGTGAAAATTATCCATGCCATGTGCACTAATGTACCCCCATACTATAATGGATGCTGGCTTTTAACTGTGCACTGATAACAAACCGGATGGTCCCTCTCCTCTTTAGCCAATAGGAGGCAGCATCCTTGATTTCCAAAAAGAATTTCACATTTTGATCGGTCAGACCACAGGATAGTTTTACACTTCACCTTAGGTAATCGTAAATGAGCTCAGGCCCAGAGGAGGAGGCATCGTTTCTGGATCTTTCTTTACCTCTGTCAAGGAGGTTATGTTTTTGCCTCCGTTTGTTTATTTATTTGTTTGTCTGTTTGTTAACAGGATATCTCAAAAACAGGTGCATAGATTTTGACCAAACTTTGCAAGATGTTAAAGTAGCACAAGAGGAACAAGTGATTAAATTCTGGCATATCTAGGCCAAAGTACAGCTGAGATGTGGGCCAAGGTTCAAATCCAGCTATGCTGGCGGAGGTATGGGCTCTCGCGAGTCCAGATCTAGTTTATATATGGTTTTTTCTTAACATGGTGTAGTTTTACTTGCAGTTGAGGAGCAACAGTGAACAGAGTTCTCTGACAATGGTTTTCAGATGTGTTTCTGAGCCCATGCAGTTATTTCCACTGCTGAATCCTGTCTATTTTTAATGCAGTGCCCCCTGCTCACCAGAATATCACTGCCATTCAATATTGGTTTTTGGGCTTGGGCCTTATGTACAGATTTCTCCAAATTCTCTGAATCTATGAACAGATATGTACCGTAGATGATGAAATCCAAAAAGTCTTTGCAATTTTACATTTAAAAACGTTATTCTTAAACTGTTGAACTATTTGCCCACACAGTTTTTCAGTGCGGTGAAGCCCTCACCATCTTTACTTTTGAAAGACTCCGTCTCTGTGGAATATTCTTTTGTACAACCAATCATGTTACTGACAGTTGCTACACCCAATTATGTTACTGACCTGCTGCCAGGTAACCTAATTAACAGCAGGATATTGTACCAGATGCATTTCTTTAGCAGTGTACAACTTTTCAGGTGTTTTGTAGCCCCTGTCCTAGCTCTTTTGAAAGATGTTACTTGCATCAAATTCAAAATTAATTATTTTCCAGAAAACAACATTTCTCAGCTTCAACATTTGATATGTTGTCTTTGTACTATCTTCAATTAAATATAGGATTTAAATGATTTGCAAATCATTGCTTTCTGTCTTTATTTACATTTTACATAGAACATTGTACTTGACCGCTTTCACACTCACATGTGGCGGCACGGTGGCACAGCGGTTAGCACTACTGCCTCACAGCAAGAAGGCTGTGGGTTCGAATCCGGCCTGCGGCCTTTCTGTGAGGAGTTTGCATGTTCTCCCAGTGATTGCGTGGGTTTCCTCCGGGTACTCTGGTTTCCCCCACCCCATCCATCATAGGAACACTCCAACCAGTACCCCTGACCAAGGAACTGGCTTTAGAACTGGAGTTGGTCCCCAGGTGCTGCTCTGTGGCTGCCCACTGCTCCTAACTATAGGATGGGACAAATGCAGAGGACGAATTACCCCACGGGGTTCAATAAAGTATATCTTAACACTCAAAAACAGTTCTGATCTGTCTTAGAAAAAACTGTTTTTATTGCTAATTTCTCAACACAAAATATGGTTCAAAATACAGAGTGTTTTGAGAGTGTTTAAAATGTGCATGGAAATGTGCTACTCCATTTGCAGTATTTGTTACCAACAAAGTTGGACGAAGGCCATGTATTCACCCATGAGTGCTTTTTTGTCTATTTGTTAGTCCAGACAGTATCTCTCAAATTTCTCAATCAATTTTGATGACATTTTGTGTGGGCCACAGCCCAAGGAACAATCCATGAGATTTTTGTGGTGAGCTGGATCTTCACCATTTCGGGCCTGAGAGATTGGAAAAAATGCCATATGTCTTAAAATCCACTAGTTGGTTATAAAATTCCAAGTGCATTGGAAGAGGGATGTGCTCTGTGAGTGCATTCCAGAATTTGCCCTGGCTCTTTTGAGGGAAAAGATTAAGCACTGTAAATTTCCTCTGAACTGATTGAGCTCAATACGTAATTATAGAGAGAAATGTTAGAGAAAACTTGTTCTTTGTGAAGTGATCTACAGGCATTTTGTGACAGCCAGTGAAGACAGTTTTACTTCCAAAAAGATTAATGAGGAGGGATTTGGCTCTCAAATAAGGATCCCCAGCATTGTTTCCAGTGTAAAGAAAATAAGCACACGATGGAGAGCTCCATACTTGTGTACTGAGAAAAACAGTGCAAACAATTTGATCTGGACTCAGAAGCAGACACTGCAGACTCAGGATGTGAAGAAGTAACAAGGGTTTCTTTCCAGGCATCAGTGCCAATTAACAGAGGCAAAAAGCATGGGCAACAGACAAGCCGAGATCAGATCTCCAAAAAACTTGCGGAGGTATAAAAAACAGAACCAGTAGCTGGAGAAAAAAAGGCAAAAGTTAAAACCAGCCCATCAGGCAGAAACATGGCACAGGTATCCAATACAAGCGCAAGGTGAGCATCGCAAAATTACCAGGGAGGTAAAAATCAGGACAATGAAAGCTACGAGAGATATAAGGGCACAACAACTGGACAGGACAATCCAATAGACAATGCAACGGGAAAGGATAAAACATACAAAGCTCAAGTAGATCGTTAGAAAACAAGTTAACATTTGTGGGGGGACCCACTTACAAAATCATTCACCCAATTAACATGTATACAGAACAGAGACAGGGAAAGAGAAAGGAAGCCAGGAACGCTGACAGAAACCGGTTGTGACATAATGTCCACTGCCCGTCTACTTACTGTTTTGGCAACCCAAGTGCTGATGTCAGCCAGCAGTCAAACTGTGGATTTCTCAATTTCAATTTTAAATATAACCAGCGAGAGAGAGTGAAAGAGAGAAAGTTGAAGGCTATAAAAGTTTATTATTTATTTATTTCCAGATGCTGTAGACAGCCAGAGAGTTCAGTATTTGATGAAATTGTATGCAATATTTACACCATGAGCAAAAAACTCTAAAAGCAAACTTTTTTTATTTGGGTATTTGCAGTGTCTCTGTGTGTGGCAAATAATGGGAGACAAGAAAGAATCTATATCAAGTTGCCTGTCAGCATCATTACTCAAATCATTTTCTCTGAGCTCCGTAATTCATAATACAGTGACACGTCTTGTTATTTTGGTCTGACCAGATCTGAATACAATTGAACATGCATTTTACAAGCTGAAAAGGAGATTGAGGTCAAAAAGTTTCCAAAACAAGCATAAACTGAAGATGGCTGCCACAGAGGCCAGGCAGGGCAACGCAAGGGAAAATGTCCAGTGTCTAGTGATGTTCATATATGAAACCAGATATGAATAATTCTGACTTTATTGTACATTATGTTAAACTTTCCCATAGTTTTTGACGCACTTGAAAATAAAATGGGAGGGGGGAGGGGGGGGCTATGTATAAAAGGTGTTGTACATAAATGGTTTGTTCAATATGGTTGAATTCTCCCACAAAACACCAGTATCCTGTTTAACTCAAACTACATAACCTGAATAACAAATTTCTCGGTGTCCAATGAAGTATGGAGTTCATTTTAATTAAATTATGTGATTCCCATTTTCTGTGGGGCTGGGATAAACTCTCATGCCCATTGTGCGAGGGTGAATCTGTAAAGGCCAAGAGATGTCCAGTCCAGCCTGGTATACTATGACAGGAGGCAAAATGGGAGCTGGGCTTAGAGGAATCTGGTCTGGAATACCGTGATGCTGATCCGTCATGTCCCTGGGTCTTAATGCCTGAATATTGAGGTGAGGAATAGGAGAGGGCGTTTGCTCAGATGAAGGTGAGCTGCTTGTCTGCGGGGACGCCATATTTTTCTTTGTGTTCCTCGAACAGCTCGCAAAGCTCGCTCATGTAGCGCTCATGAAGCTCACTCAGCTCCTCATCAGTGGGCTTCTCGTTCTGCTCCACGGGGATGGGCTTTCCCACTGGAGAAAAAAGGAGAAAGACTGCTTACTCAATGTTAATATTCATAAATAATGGTTTAGCTAAAGTTCAGTCGTATGGCATAGTGCAAAAATAAAAAGAAGTGAAAAAAAATTCTGACACTATGAGAAAAAATAGTAAATGTTTTATGTCACGCTTTCCTCAGTGCGCTAATATCGAGAAATAACAGTCCTCAGGCAAATGCACTCGCCAAAACTGTAGGTGAATACATGTAATTGACGTTTGTTGTTGTAACCGGCAACAGTACACAGCACTGTGTATGCATTGCAAAGCTGGGTGTCCTACCAAAATATATGAACCAAAATCTCACTGTCAACCATTCCAAAGCAAAGGGAGCCTTTCACCCTCCACCTTCCTCCCCGAGACACACGAGACCCCACCCCCCCCCCCCCCAAAGGCCTCTTTCCAGCAGACAATCCATGACCTTCTTTAATCAATGCAGCGCACGTTTCATAACCAAAAACAAAAAAAGTAGCAAATTTGCTGATTTGCAAATTCACCAGATCAAACAACTCAAGCAGACTCATTTTAGGTCAACTGTCCAGGAGTCAGTGGACTTCGGGACGGATGAACCCACTCCTTCAGAGGAAAATTCAGTAACGCTTGGTGTTAATTGTAGACAGCAGGTTGATCTGGTTAATAGCCAACACAGATGGGCTTCAAAGCTACATAATTAAGGCAAACACAAATTAAATATAATCCCATGTGAGAACTTCCCGTCTTGCTGTGCCTACCTGTACCTCAATGCCTGCTGTTTTTTCAATATGCAACTATAGCCAGGTAGTTACATATTGTTAACTCCCTCTATGGGCTTTGTTATTTGCTTAATGAACTAATTTTTGTGCATGTTATTCCAGTATACAAGATTGTTGAATACTACAAAAATTTCTTCATTTATTTAAGCTTCAGCTTACTGCCATGCAACAGAACTCGTGTCAAGTAAGTGACCAAATACTGTGCATGTAAAGTATGTGACCAATGAAGGACAAAATTATTAGTCATTTATATTCCTGACTCCATGACATCATTAAGAAAAAATGGAATTAAGGGAGTTCTGTTTTACATATAGCTGGTCAGCAAAAGTTTCAATTGACCCTTTTTCTCCATAACTTGTGACTCCAGTTTGCTGCAGATCCCTCTTACAGGAATAATTATTACCTCTGCAAAGGAGATTATGTTTTTACCCCCCTTTTGTTTGTTTGTTTGTTTGTTTGTTTGTCTGTCTGTCTGTTATGAACGGTTTGGCATGAAATTTGGTAGGACTATACGTGGTAGTCCTAGAAAAGTTGATTTAATTTTGAAAGTGATCCGGAACATATTCTGTGACCAAGAGAACAGGTATATGGCATGATGGAGGTATGCGCTCTACAGAGTGCCCTCTTGTTTATTCATATTTTAGCTTCAGCTTGTTCAGCATTCTTTATACACCCCTGTAATAATATCAACTTTCTGAACTCTGTACTATCCCTTACTTATGTAAAGGACGCCTCCATCTTGTCTAATCTTCTAGCGTCAGGGAGACTTGGGGCTATTACGTCATGACTGTTCGCGGTTGTCAATTCATTGTGATGGATTCTTTTGGTTTTTGACATAAAGAGGGATTTGAAGGGGGGGAAGAGTGATGATTTTTGATCTCCTGATGTACACGTCAGAGCCAGCCATGGTTACCTATTTGTAATAATAATTCAATTCAGCCTACTAAATTTTCAGTCACATTATTAAGTTGTGATTCTTTGTAGAGAAAATTCCTCGATTCACCACTGAAAGATGTTTCTCTTGACTGGTCAGCGACCAAAATTTTCAGAGGCTTCATTTTAACTCAGCTCTTAATGAGTTGGGTCTTAGTAAATTTTTGCAGAGGCATGTGATCAATGTCAGTCAGCTATAATAACATTATTGTGAAAAGTTTATTAGATAGGGATAACCCCTTGAGATGTAACATCTTGTTTTCGAGGGGGTCCCACATTAGCCAAGTTCAGCTTAAACTAACAATGTTAACATTTCAAGGAGGCAATTTTGGCTGCTACATGAACTCTGTATGCCCCTGATTTGCGCAATAATTCACGCTTGGATCAGACTAAAATGAGTCTTTTCACTGTTTTTATTTGCACACTTTTACCAATGGCTTTTATAGGGGTGAACACATGCAAGTTTGGAATCACTGGTGATTTTAACATAGATGAAATGGAGGGAACTTTGTTTTACTGCAAGACAATGACGCAAAACATACATTCAAACCATTCAGACTTTTTGGGAAGGAAGTTACAAAATATGGAGTGGCCTGATTTAAACCCCTCCGTGCTGTTGAGGGATCACC